AATACCACGCCTAACCTATCGGGTAGCCAAGACTTTAGGGCACGGCATACTTCGCGGTAGCCCACACCGACGAAGGGGGTTTTTCTTTGGGAACCCTAACCGGAGCCTTGGACTCAAAAGTCTGACCCACAAGACAGTGGGGCGTAAATCCAACGCGGGAGCGTGAACGAAGCACCCGTGTGGGAGCTTCTAGAGACCTGTCACGCAAGACCTTTGAATTTCGATTGATTGTGTTGTTCGCTGGTGCGTTCATTTTCGGTCCGCTTTTCGGGATCAGCCCTCAGCTTCATGCATCCAATGAGACAAGCGGAACGTGGACGGGACAGCACCTTATTGGCTGGGGGCTGCCCAGCTTGGGCGGGCGGTAGCTGTCCAATGAAGTGCGAAGACTTCTCCCACCGTCGAGAGGAAGCCCCAGGTACCCCGCTCCTACGTCCATCTAGCATGGTTTTTCGACCGGTAAACTGCCCCTCACCGTGTTTTTTTTACTGGAGTGACCTCTCATCATTTCAGCGTATGTAACGACCAACTGCAGTTCTGACGCACCAAAAGGACGAGTTTTATGATAAACTCACCGAACTCACTCGGCTTAGCCGAAGCTTGTCTCAGGTGATTTTAACGCTCAAGTTGGAAAACTGAGCACATTGGAAGCTTGTCTAGGCAGTCATTGCGCTCTGTCCTGCCAGCGAACAGATAATGGCGATCGACTTCTTCAGTTCTACGCAGATCATCATCCTTTCCAGCACCAACTTCCGACACAGCTCTCAACGCATAGCAACGTGGCGCTCAAATTCGACTGGTACGCTAACTCAAATCGACCAAATAGCAATGAGTTACCGTTAGCGTGACTCAGTACAAAACCGCAGGTCCTATTGGACCAGCTGCGTTGAATCTGATCATGCGTCAGTTTTGATGCAGTCCACTCTCTAACTCACTAGTCGCAGAAAATTCCACCAAACTCGATTGGCAGATCATCGCTTATCTAATCCAGTCGTTTGTGCCCGTTTTGAATCAGAACTAGGGCAAGCGCTAAACGCACTGCGGGGTGGTAGTGTAAATGAACAATGGGATCAGATTAGCCGAGCAATGAACTCCGCAGCGAACGTTGCTCGTGGATCTGAAGCAGTAACCCGCCCGAGGTACTGGATATCTGATCAGTCAGTGGCACTGATGGAGACTAAACAGGAGTAAACACCTTTGGCGACGTGATGTTTCACTGAAGTTGAAAAGTTGCATATACTGCGCCACTGTACGATCAGTTCTGCTTTACGGTTGTGAGACCTTGAATTTGCGGACAGAAGACACCTGTCGTTTAGCAGTGTTCGACAATCGATGCTTAAGTAGTCTGGTTCAAGTGGGATGACGTGGAGACCAGGTATGAAGAAATGCACAGAGCGATTAGGTAGAGTAGGTGTGTCTCGTCTTCCGGGATGAGGTTCGAAAGACTGTAACTGCATTGTTGGAAACATTGTAGGTCATGTCTGCTAACCGACAGCAATGGCGATCTTGCTGTCACGTCATATCAGACCAGAATGCTTGAGATAGCATGTACGCACAGTTAAACTGTGTACTCCGTGCGTCGACCATAGAGGTTCATTTTCTCTTCCTGTCCCTAAAATTAAACCCAATCCCTATCTTCCTTACACATTCTCACTTGCCTTATATGCAATATGAGTTTGACAGCGATCAGTGAAGTTCGCTTCATTGTATTACGCTGTACAACAATGATGATGATGATGATGATGATAATCACACATTGTTCGCCAGAGTAACGATTCTTCCATTGGCGATAACTCACCTGAGGAGATTGCTTGCAGCCGCGGTAAAAATGTGCAACAGATGTGACGCGTGTGGTTTGGCATGCACGCCGAGTTTCGAATCCATGAGAACTTTTACCCAGTCCTGTACAGTTCCGCATCGAGCAACCAGACGCCACAAACCATGATCTTCTGCAAGAAGAGAATAAGGTCCCTCAAGTTATGCAAATTCGCTGGCTACATCGGTCTCTTTGATCAATATTTCACTAATCATTGGTACATCCAAACGTGGTGCAGCGGACTCGGTAGCATCCCTTTGCACCGGCTGTCGATATGTAGTCTTAAAGAAAGCCAAAAGGGTGTTTGAGTTATCTCGTTTCGATGTGGCTCTGCTACCTCCACTTATCTCCAAGGAGCTCACACTTTCTTTTGTTTTTTGGCTTGCACGTAAACATAAAACCTTCTGGGATTATGCTTGATGTGCCATGCCAGATTCTTTTGGTAAATATGTTTTCCATCTCGTTTTAGGGTATGTACCTTGTTACGGGCTTTTTCGTAATGACGCCATGTCTGTTGCGTGTCGTACGTTTGCTTAGTTTGCCCAACATCTGCGTACTTTTAGTCCTCTATATAGATTCAACTTCCAACACACTGGCCTATGGTTTCCACTTCCGGCGCAAACTCATCCATATGTCGACAAACCCACTTGGATCCTATGCCATATCTCTGTCACTGTGGGCTCCGGTGATTCTGGTATCCAGATTACCTGCTCCACTGCTTCACGCAGTGGTCACCTCATTCATACAACTGTAGTATCGTACCCCGGCTTTGTTGACGACATTGTAGGTCATGTCTGCGAACCGACAGCAATGGCGATCTTGCTGTCACTTCATATCAGACCAGAATGCTTGAGATAGCAGATAGCAGTTGGACTGTGTACTCTGTGCGTTGACCGTAGAGGTTCACTTTCTCTTCTCGTCTCTAAAATTAAACCCAATCCCTATCTTCCTTACACATTCTCACTTGCCTTATATGCAATATGAGTTTGACAGCGATCAGTGAAGTTCGCTTCATTGTATTACGCTGTACAACAATGATGATGATGATGATGATGATAATCACACATTGTTCGCCAGAGTAACGATTCTTCCATTGGCGATAACTCACCTGAGGAGATTGCTTGCAGCCGCGGTAAAAATGTGCAACAGATGTGACGCGTGTGGTTTGGCATGCACGCCGAGTTTCGAATCCATGAGAACTTTTACCCAGTCCTGTACAGTTCCGCATCGAGCAACCAGACGCCACAAACGAGGAAGTAAATCGCCCAAAGATAAACCTGAAAAGGCAGAATCATGAAAAGGATGAACCACGCGGGAGGACGGCGGGGTGAGTGGGAGTGAGACAGGACGAGGAACATGGACAGCTCTCAGGTTGCTAACAAATACTTGTATATACCTAGAAAAATCGTTGTTCTAAAATTAAAATGTTTGACTTTTCGAGAAAAAGATTGCGGATAATACAAAATTAAATCAAACCGGCTCCCGGAATCTTAATTTAGCCGACGGTGAGTGTCATGAGTTGTCGCTGATTACCGTTCCGTTACAGCTCGCGAATTGTTTCTTTAGGACCAAGCGTCTCATACAGTCTCTTCGCCTGTTGCGGAGATGATTTCCAAATAAAGTGAGAGGACGAGAAGGCAACATACAGGATTACAACCGAGTCGGTTAACCATGAGTATGAAATATATAAATATATGTTCAATGAAATGAAAAGCGAGCAAACCCCTTACTCTAATGATCCACTAATTAAAATTCACACCAAGTGCGACAGAAAAAGCTGTTGCGTCAATGACAGACAATCGCTCACATTGAGCCTTAGTCACGCTCTTGAATATCAGATAGATAATGAGTCAACACACATGGCTCAGCAATCAAGTAGACTAGAGGCCACTAGTTCGAGGCGACCAGGATAGCACTGTGCAATACTGCAGTCAAACCAAATGGGACTTATGTGATAACCCTTACTGAACTGCCAAACCCAACTCCTGTCTAGAATTTCACATTCCGCCAAACTACTTCGTGACAGCCGAAAACCGGAAAGAAAAATCGAATATCGGGGAGGGGGTGAACGGCAAGGTAGAAATTTCGCGCCTAGGGACTGGTTGTTTGAATAAAACTTACCGGCAAGAATATCATTTCTAATCTCACGTAAACTGGCCACTGTGAAACAATACAACATACAAACTGCTTTCAGGGACTCGGGTAAATCATGCGGTCCGGCGGGTGAGCCTCCGGAACCACCTGCACCGCTGCCGTAGCCAGTTCCACCGACACCACCGGAGCCGACGACAGAGGCCAAACTGGATCGGAACTTGCGTTTCGCACGCGAAAGTGACAACTGATGCAAGAAACTCGTCAATCCGTGACGAACACGACCCTTGTAGTGATCCAGATCAAATCCGCGATTATTGGATGAAAGAAATCGACGGTTGGGGGAAACCGGGGGATGACTTGATGTGGAACCGTCGGTAAGCATTGCGGAGGATGTGCCGGGCTTAGCGTCAGGATTGTCTAGTTCCGTCTCGGCGTACAAATCACCAAACAGCATGCGAACCATACGTCCGTTCCAAAGTAGTCGTAACTGTTTCGTCACAAAAGTCATGGCGGCTTGTAATCTGTTCGGAGAGATCGAGGAGGGATTGAATAAAGTGGAATAAGGCTTTGATTGAAAAGCGAATGCGAGGTGCACGAATGGGGCTTATCACTGATGATGAATAAAGTAGGTGAGTATTTTCTGTGGGTACGAGGTGGACGTAAAATCGAGGTTTTGGGGGAGCGGATTTGGAGTGATTCAAGCAAGACGAAACTAATCGAAACGAACTCCTTTCATTCACTCTAAGAAAAACAACGGTACCTCTGGAACCTGTCATAGAAAATTTGAATATGCATACACCGCAGTAATCCAGCTATTCCGGTTTCCGGGTGCTAAGATGTGGGTTCGAACATCACTATTTGCAATATGGTTGGAATCCGGTGAGACAACTAGGAGGTTGGATGAACCATATTTATTTAATCGCAGTCTTGCGCTAACATTTTCGCTTGATCCGCATGGATCGGGACACGTCTTGTTCCTAACTTCGGAAAGACTTGCTCGTCGTGTCATGTTCAAGATTTGGCTAAGGGTCACGTCGTTGGGGTCCTTCAGATCTGACGAGTCAATATTCAGCCTCCGCTTTTACAACCACTAACCGTGCACTTTTGTGCACCGGTTTGGCTTACTGCCAATGACTGGAGATTCGACTGGATTTAGGAAGCTGAAGCGCCTACTCTCTTCCCTGGGGCGTATTTGATTTTCTCATGTTCTATGCTGATCAAGGTAACACTCACTCAGTTCGTCATTTCCTGTTGCGCTTTTATTCACTCAATGACTAGGAGGATTGCCAAACAAAACAACCAACACCCAAACTCGTATCAGCAACGCTGGTGGTTACACCGATGAAACTGAATCCTGCTATCTACGTTTTAATTCACCGGCTCTAGATACCAGCTTGTATACCTTCATTTCCCACCATCGGGCTTTTACTCCATTCATCCAGTGTATGCATGAATATGCTCACAGGGCACTTGTCCGTCAAAAGTTTCAATTTGCTTCCTGTATTCGTTTCATTATATAATAGGGAATCACCATTGCTTATCCATAACTAAACACGTTCTGGCGATAACAATCACAGGATGCTCGTCGATGTGGTCACGTGCAATTGAATTCAAATTCAAATTTTTATTACGGGTAAATTACAAGGCTGATGCTTATTGAATCCCATTGGGTCTGTACACATTGGGTTCGGTTGGTACAATTGAAAAGCAAATTCTGACATTCACACACGGTTACTGAAAAGTTGGGCGATTCAATGCTTCATCCAGTCGTGACTTGAATGAATCGATGGTTGGTGCACCAACAATTTGAAGTGGAAGAGAGTTCCAAATGTTACAAACTCTGAGGCTGAAAAAATGACGCCTGCGGTCGAGCCAGCTCTTTTGGAGCAGAAGTTTAANTACACGGGTGGTTAGGTTGATGTAGTATTTGATAAATGAGTATCATGTCTCCCCGTATTCGACGGTATTCAGACGAGTAGAGTCCGAGAATTCGTGATCTTACACCGCAGGTCTTAGATTGTAACCCTTTTGACCATTATGATTGCTGTTCTCTGCGGACGTTCAAATGCCTTTTGGTCGCGAATCAGCCATAGATTCCAAGCCTGTATAGCATACTCGGTGTGGTCTAATGTATGCTGATAATAAACGGGGTAATAGGTCTGTTTCGAATGATCCAAAAAGACGTTTTAGCAATCCAACGTGTTTTACGGTCTTTGAAGACGCTCTTGCGCAATGTGTGGAACATCCTAGATCCTCAAACGATAATTCCCGGGTCCTTTTTGTTTGGAGAACGCGGCAACCGCTGAGTTCCAAGTATGTAGAGCGACCCCTGTGGCACCGCGATGCTAGCTTGCATTTTTCAACGCTGAATTCGATGTCATTAATAATGGACCATCGGTAAGCTGCGTCGAGAGTTTCCTGCAAGGTTTCATAATCTTCAGGATATTTTACCTTCCTCCATCTTTTGGCGTCGTGAGCGAATAATAATGCCTTTTCTTCAAAGATATCTAGTAGGTCGTTTATGAATGCTAAGAAAAGTTATGGACCGAGTACGGATCCTTGTGGAACTCCACGGACAGCCTCAATCGGTCCCGACAGAGAACCATTAACTCGAATCGATGCGGTATGTTGTTAAAGAAATGCTTCAATCCAGTCCAGTAGCAGTCCTTGGACGCCGTAATTATGGAGCTTTCACAGCAGTATATGATGGTTAACCCTGTCAAAAACTGTCGTGTTCCCCAGAAGTTTCATTGGCCTTGAGAGCGCTAGCATTGCGTTGATAAATTAGTGATTGGGTATCCAGTATTGTGTGGTATATTTATTAGCTGTTCAAAGTTCATTTTTTAGTGAGCAATTAATGTGTTGTTGATGCGACGCAATAAATTCGAGTGTCATTATTCTTATCTTCACATCCAACAGCTGACTGGGGATAGGAATATCCCGTAGTGCCTCAGACGTTTTTCGTAGCATTTATCATCATCAATCATGACACAACACAAAGCGGTGCTAACCAATCAGCATTGTACAAACAACCATATTTCGCGATCCAGTTTGTCCAGGCATTCATTATCTGACTAATTGAAGTCTTGTACAATCGGTACTTTTACCACAGCTGTGTATGGGGATTGTTCTGGCTAATCCAAGGTACAGGCAGGTACATCATCTTTAACCAAGATTATAACACGACACCTACAGTCCAAACCAGTTAACCGTTGGTCTATGAACCTATCATGCGAGTTCGATAACAGTGGAACAACAGCGAGAGAGAGACACGGACATTTAGAAAGAAAAAACGCGCGAGAAATAGAGTTCAACTCACGAGGTATCCAACGGTTGAGCAAACCAACCCAATATGGGATGCCAGCTGGACAAATTAGATTTCTTACTGCCCACATAGCCTCCAAGGTGAGAAAGTAGACGAGACAAGACCACCTAGAAAAGAAAAGGGAACACGATAAAGGGAATCCTTGAGCGCTGAAGAGTTCTTTTTTTTATTCGCAACGATATCACAGAAACAGATTTCGCCGAAGCGCAGTGAAATGGGTTTGGTGAATGTGAAATTGATTTTGACTTTGGACCGATCATATTGGTGACCGAAATATCAAACAACGAGTTGGCACTTCGTCCCAGCCTAAAAGGAGAAGAAGCACAATATTTGGGCTCATTTGACTCGTTTTCAGGCGAGCTGAACAACATAATGTTTACACAGTGGTGTAAGCATAAAATGACCCAGGGTTCAACCCAGGGACGAACAATTGGGTTCTATCAAGGAGCAAGGTAGGGGGATTGGAAAAAGGAGTAGATAACAACCACAACAACAACAACAACGTGTCCCTGTTCAAAAAATTTAGTTCATCGACTTCAATGATACTTTGATGAGGATAAACATAGTGGATTCATTCGAATTGGAACACCTGATCTATCCCCTCCCGGAGGCAATCTTAGACCCACCAGTTGGTTTCCAGTGGCTCACGTCTTTGCCAACAAGATACTGTAGAGTAACCAAGAGGGGGGGAGGGATAAATTCTGTTGGGAGAAATTATGGGCCGTAAAACAAGGTGATCTCTACGCTTCATGCAAAGGTGAGAAGTCTGACCGAAAAACACGATCATCGAATGCAACAAATTTTCAACGTTGTTACAATGATGTTCATTTGTGGATTGAAGTTTGTTTCTATTGATTTGCTGCGTTATGAATTAATCAATTTACAAACACAACCGGCCTCATTACGCCAAGAAAGCGGTCCCGGTATCACAAGTCGTGCTGTATCCGACTCATTTCGTGAACAGCTATTAGTCGATTCACAATTCCAGATGCGGACTATCCGATAGCGGGGGCACAAATGCAGTCTTGTGGATAGCGTGATTCGAAAAATATTGTGAAACAAGGGCAACTACCCCCCCCCCTCCTCCCACCCCCGTCCCAGCACACACTTTCTCCACAACGCAAAGTCATTTCATGAACCATCCATTTTCTTAATTACACATCACACGCCCCCCGCCCCCTGAGCAGTTCAACGCAATCGCTCAGACTAATATCATTCATCACCATTGGTTTTCCAAAATGCATAACCATGCACCGCATTCTAATTGCCCGACTAAGCGTTTTTTCATTTTTTGGCATGCACCCTCTCTGTAGTACTCGATACTGCATATATGGTGTACACTCACAGCGCGGATTGAGAACACGCAAAGAAAGAATGATGGCTAAAATCGTGCTCGTCTGAAATGCATGGAGGGAAGAGCAGGTTTCACGCGGTGAGGTCAGTTAGAAATGAGCAGAAGTGGAATTGTTGTCTACAGTTACAATACAACTAGCACCGCTCAACTGCTGGGGACAGAGATGAGTAAAGGGGAATATTCTATTGATCACAGTCCCGGAGGTGTGGATACAAAATGACCACAGAAAGAGTAATTTGAATCCATCAAAGCTGTTAATTCTTTCCAGACTAAATAAAAAGTTCGTAGTAAAAGAGTGATAGCGGCAAATTCTTATCCGGATACAAGCCTTCCGCTGTAGAGAGAGAGAGACAGTAACCCAGTAGCAAGATATTCTGGTAGGACCTACCAAACATATAATTAAATATGACAACGAGGGAAAAGCATGTGATGTTTAGAAACAGTGCGATACAAGAGATAGGTCTAGTCAGAGATAATTGGCAGAAACGATAGATGCTGCTGATGCGGATACATGAAGAATATCCCCGGGGTTACAATCGAGAAAAGTAACACTGTCTGATAAATTTCATTCTATAAGCAACTAACCGTTCTATGCCAAAGGGAAATTGTCATCTTTGATTAAGCTAACCGATTACAACGATACTATCGCCGGAGAACACACATGGAATCTGTTACGGTTTGGAGCAGTTGAGAAGAAGTAATGCGCAACTAGCAACACCTTGACTACTACTACTACTACTGTTGTGAGATACTACTCACTTGTGAGTAGTTGGTAACTTTCAATGATTAAAAATAGAACGAGACCATCCAGGACCAAGTAATGTATTTGGGAAGAATAAACACTGCCTGCTATACCCATTGCCCCATGTGTCGCGATGTGCTGCGAAAGCATGTTTCTGATGAGCTTTTCGTGTTATGCATCCAAAATTAGTGACCCTCCATCTGTATTCTGCGATAAAGAACTCTCTCCTCGACCAGCACCGCCTTTTCGGAA